TCCTGACCTCAGGTGATCTGCCTGCCTTGGCCTCCCAAAGTTTTGGGATTACAGGCATGAGCCACCATGCTGGAGTGCTATGTGCAATCTCAGCTCACTGCAACTTCTACATCTAGGGTTCAGTTGATTCTTGTGCCTCAGCCTTTCAAGTTGCTAGGATTTCAGGCATGCACCACCATGCCTGGCTAATTTTGTATTTTTAGTAGAGACAGAGTTTCTCCATGTTGGTCAGGCTGGTCTTGAACTCCCAACCTCAGGTGATCACCCACCTTAGCGTCCCAAAGTGCTGGGATTACATGTGTGAGCCACCACACCTGGCTGGGAGTTAAGTATTTTACTATCTTTTTTCTTTCAGAAATTGGGTTGGTAACATTGAAGAGACACTTCTCACCTGCCTGAAATGCCCTACGTTATCTTCTTCAAGTTGCAAGGGCTCTGGAACAGCCCTTTCAGTGCTCCCGTAAAGGTAAGTGTAACATTTCACTGTAGTTCTTTGCTTTTTTTTCTTTTTTGTGCTTATAGGGATTGGCATACATGTATGTGAAAATATAAAAAGAGTACAGATAGGCACCTGTAACTAGTTTCCTGTTGCTACCTATTAACACATTATAACAAGTTAGTGGTGGGAAACCACAGAAATCAGGAATGATTGGGTTCTCTGATCAGCGTCTTAGGAGGCTGAAATCCAGTTAGGTGCTGCCTGTGTTTTTCATCTAGAGCTCAGGCTACTCTTCCAAGTTCACTACAGATGTATTGGCAGAATCCATCTTCTTGTGGGTGGAGGACTGACATCCTTTTGCAGTCCTCCTGGCTCTCAGCCAGGAGACACCCTGACTCCAGAGGCCACATGCATTCTTTCTCACTTTCCCCATCTTCCAGCCAACAACAGCTCATGGAATTCTTCTCCAGCTCCCATCCTCTGTCTGACTTCGTCTTCTCCTACCCACTAGAGAAATCTGTGACACTTAGGGAGTCATGTGATCAGATGCGGCCCACTCAGGAAAGCTCAGCCTTTGTATTAGTCTGTTCTTGCAATGTTATAATGACCTGAGGCTGGGTGATTTATAAAGAAAAGAGATTTAATTAGGTCATGGGTTGGGCTGGCAAGGGAGAGAGAGAGAGAGAGAGAGAGAGAGACAAAAAGAGAGAGAGAGACAGAGAGAAAGGGGAAGTGCTACATAGTTTTAAAGAGGCAGATTTCATGGAAACTCTGTCATGGGACAGCACTTGGGGAATGGTGCTAAGACATTAGAAACCATTTCTGTGATCCAATAACCTCCTGCCAGGCCCCACCTCTAACACTCAGGATTATCTCATGTTGAAACATGAGATTTGGGTAGGGACACAGAGCCAAACCATATCATTCTTTAAAGTCATATGACTGCCATGTAACAACATAATCACAGGAATGTCTCATCAGCTTAACAGGTTCCAGAGATAAGGGTACAGCATGTTTGGAGACCATTTTAGAAATTCCACCTATCACACTTCAACTTCTGGTCCCCAGATGTTCATGTTCCTCACAGATGCAAAATACATTCACCCTCTCACCTAAGGTTTCCAAGTTTCATGTCATTATGAATTAGTGCAAAGTGAAAAATGTCATGTAGCTTTAATCTGATCAAAAGTTTAAAATCTCATTTAAATCATCTACACCAAGTGTGAATGAGGCTTCTGTGGGTGTCTGTTAAGTACAGATTCTTTTTATTTGAGAGTGAGTCTTGGCCTGTCGCCCATGCTGCAGTGCAGTGGTGCGATCTTGGCTTATTGCAACTTCTGCCTCCTGGGTTCAAGTGATTCTCCTGACTCAGCCTCTCGAGTAGCTGGGAATACAGACATGCACCACTGCATTCAGCTAATTTTTTTGTATTTTTAGTAGAGATGGGGTTTTGCCCTGTTGACCAGGCTAGTCTGAAACTCCTGACCTCAGGGGCCGTCCCCCTCAGCCTCCCAAGGTGCTAGGATTTCAGGCATGAGCCATTGTGCCCGGCCCAAGTACAGATCCTTGATATAATTCCCTTACCCCTGTTGACCCGTGAAACTGAACAAACAGCTTATCTGTCCTCAGTGTGCAATGGTGGGACAGTCACAGGATAACACTGCTAGTGATTCTTGTTCAAAAAGAGGGAAAGTGGAGGGAACAAAGTCACTGATCCAAAACCATTTTTGCATGGGGCTGAGCAAAGTCCAGCAGGAATTTCTTGATTAGGCTCCTCAGCCTGGAACTAACCCTCTGTGACAGGGGACTTTGCCTCTGGGCTCTGCATTTTTTTCTGTTGTTATTGAAAACATTTTATTTTCCTTCTTCCCCTACTCTTTTGGTTCTTCCCCTTTCTCCTCATAGCAGCATCCTCCATTGATCCTTGTGGCATCATCCCAGCAGAATTGGTCAGATATTGCCTGTGTCAGGGTCCTGACCATCTCCACGAGGGGCTGTCCTTGTGAGCCCGTGCTCCTCTTCACTGACCTGACCTCTCGCAGTCATGATTGCTTTCAGCTGCCCTGGCTGGCTTAGGAGAAAACCTAAGACTATGGAGTCCCAGAACCAATCTCTGCCCTCTCTATCTCCAAGAGAGGAAGAAAATAACAGGGATCTTCATGGAGAAATGACCCAGGTGAGGGCCTGGACTCTCCAGCAGTTAGAGCAGAAGAAAGTTTCTGAAGAAGAATGGAGAAGCTGAGAGCCCAGGCCGGGAAAGCAGGGTTGTGTGAAACACTATTTAATCCTATGTGCTTTCTGCCCCAATCTAGCAGCCAGTGAATGATGGCTGACTGAGTATAAAGGCCAGGACTATAGAACTGTGATAAAGCGTTTGTCCAAGGAAAGGGGCTTTTGCTGTTTTTGTTTTCACAGTGGAAATGGCTATTTTTCATCTAAAGTTTTCTGAATGGCAGCAGCGAGCCTCAGGAGGGTGAGTTACCTGCTCTGCACAGGGAGGCTGAGGCCATGGCTTGTGTGGGGTTCTGCTGCCACCAAGTGGTGACGGAGGGAGCCTGGGAGAGTCTCAGTCTTTCTGGGCTTCAGTGTTTCCTCATGAGTAAGATAGAGGCTTATTGTACCTCTCTGAGGTGCCTTCCTGCTCTGTTTTCTCTGAGCCTCTGAGGAATTGAGATGCTTTTCAATACTGCCTGGGACCTTCAGCTGAGACCTGACTCTGTGTGTCTCCTGCAGGAGCCTGAGCTGAGTCTACACACTGGAATCCCAGAGCTGAGGGAACAGGTGGAAGAAAGAAAGTCAGCAGGTTTAGGGGATGAGAATAATCCACAAAGGACAAGCCATCGGTAAATGAAAACCAAAGAAGGTGAGAATAAGTACAAACCAGGACAGAAGCCTCAGGGGAAATGGGCAATGCCTATGATCATTTAAACCCTCAAGGAACAGCGTGAGCTGAGCAGTGGGGACTGAGAGAAACTGACTCGACGGGAATCTCCTGCATCTGGCCAGGGAGAGCCACAGGTTAGATCAGAGCTGGTTTGTAGTGAGGGGCAGCTTCAACTCCAAGAAAGGGTTGGAGGTTTGTAATCAGTTTTATTCAGTCACGGATGAACACTCCCCAGACCCAGGAGCCTCAGTGTCAGTGCTGCCGTAGCAGTGTATGCTCTTCAGGTCAGTGTGGGTTAGAGGGAATAACCATGCTTGGAGAAGGGTTGGAGACGTCCATTCTTACATTAAACCGCTCTGCCCTAGGTCAGGTGCCAGCGTAAGTGTCCCTTGCTTGATTATGAAGCAGAGATACGAATAATATTCCTCTGCACTTTCAGTTGAGGGAAGTTTCTCATAAATATTTATTGAGCATGTAATTTTCTTTATACTGTGCTAAGCACTTGGGATTCAGGTATTTAATATCTCTCTAAAGAATCTCAAGGCAGTGAGTGGAAGAACACAAACAGATCATTTCAACAAGATACGGTAGTTCTACCCAACTGAGGTGTTGTGGCAGCACGGAGGATGGGAGGGTGTGTCAAAGGACATCTCTCCTAATGATGGGGAAGCATAAGAGAACATTTTCAGGACAGTCTAGTCTTCCTTGAAGCTCCCACAGGAGAGGATTCTGGGGCAGGGATGGGTAGGGCAGGTGCCTCTCTAGGGAAGGGGATTTGCAGCATCTGAAGGAAAGAGCATCCCTTACAAGACATTGGGGACAGAAATGTAGGTGAAAGGGTCGGAGGTTTGTAATCCATTTTATTCAATCATGGATGAACACTGCTGAGAGGCCCCTCTGTGCTGGGCCCTTAGCTAAGGACCATGACCACAGAGGTGAGTAAAATATAATCCCAGCTTTCACAGAATTCTCAGTCTAGTGACTGGTGATTCATGAGAAGTGTAGTGATGGTGGGTTCATGGAACCAGTGGCCCATGCCTCATGCGATGACCTCAGTGGATGTCCTGGGCCAGTGACCCTGGACTTCAGCCATATTTCAGCATCTCGCGATACAGTACACCAACACCTCAGCTCCATGTTGAGTCAAAGCAGTTAACGCAGCCAAGGTATTCAGAGGACACTGATGATATCAGTAGCTATAGGCTGTTTCCAGCTGGGGAAATAAAGACGTAAATTTAATAAGTCTTCTAAATGTGTCCTTGCCATAATGATAAATAACTTAATCTTGATAATGAATTATATTCTGGTAAGTTAATTATAACTTACCATAATGAGAAATAAATTTATCCTGAGTAGAGCAGACACACAAACCCTTGAGGACACATGCCTGAGGATTCTGATGAAGATATGATGTCCAAATATGTGCACAGTTGGACCTACAGGCCAGCTTTGAAACAGTGGAAGACCTAGTTTCAAATTCAAGGTTGCTTTGAGTAGAAATTCACTTTACCTCTCTTTGCATGGCAATGGGGCCAATCTTCCCTAAGGTACCCCTTACAAGAAAAAGAATCATACTGGTAAGAATTCAGACTTCAGCAAACATGGATAAGTAAGGAAGTCTTATAAATGTGTTCTAGCCACCTAGCAAGAAACCAGGAATTTAGCAAGTTCGTTCACATTCAGGACAGTTGTGTTCACTAGATCAGAGGCCCTGAGACATGAAGAACAGCCCCCTAAGAAGGGAAAGTGTTTCTTCCTGTCCTAGGACATCACTGCCAACTTCAGGGAGGTGAGAACACAGCTGCCCGCTTTACAGCATGGGCTGTGTTTGTGCCTGGAATGTGTCTGATGTCCCAAGACCTGTACCCATTTCAGGGAGCCTTGGGAGGAGCCTGAATCACTGATGGAATTGGACAGTGCGTGGAGATGGTTGAGCAGGATGAGGGTAAGTGCATGGGCATGGCCAGGCCATACTGGGAGACAGTGAGCGGCACTGATGGGGACAGACAAAGATAAAGTCAAAAGTGTGTGCTTCAGTGTCAAAAACTCAAACCAATAACTAGTTTGCTTTCATAAGCAATAAGTATTTTTCTATTTATGTGAGAATTTAATCTTAAAACAGAAATCATAAAAATAGTAAGTCCAGGGCATAAAACCTAAACTATAGCTCATATTTATTCTTTCTAAATAGAGCTATTAGTAAAATCTTCTTCATAAAACATGTATTGTGGACATAAGAAGGAAAGAGTCGGCCGGGTATGGTGGCTTGCACTTGAGGAGGTCGAGGTGGGCGGATCATGAGGTCAAGATATTGAGACCATCCTGGCCAACATGATGAAACCCTGTCTCTACTAAAATCACAAAAACTAGCCAGGTTTGGTGGCACATGCCTGTAGTCCCAGCTACTCGGGAGACTGAGACAGGAGAATTGCTTGAACCCGGGAGACAGAGGTTGCAGTGAACCTAGATTGCACCACTGCATTTCAGCCTGGTGACAGCAAGACTCTGTCTCAAAATAAAAAAGAAAGAAAGAAAGAAAAGCAACAGTCTTAGAATCATTGGCATTCCATAGAAGAGAGAATTAAATACAGTCAAGGGAAGACCCAAGTCTCATACTTCTCTTGTATATTCCAAAGGTCCAGGGAAATTCCAGGTCTAATGGAAAATAGAGGTTATTTTGCATGCTGTTAAAACAAGTTTGCAGACACTTCTGAATTTTGGTCCCAATATACTAGGAGGGCACACCTCTGTCCTGGAAGATGACACAGGAATGAATACTCTTCCTGTGACTCATTCTGGTCGTTCATCCAGCATCACAGAAACCAAAAACTGGAAATCTGGCCAAATTGATGATTTGCTAGCCCTCTTGTTCAGGTTTCTTACCTGATTCTTAGGATAACAGCGTTACCTTGAGGATTATGATGAAGATATGTTGTCCAAATAAGTGCACAGTTTTGAGCAAAATGCCTGGTGCAAATTGATCAACAAATAATTACTGAATAATTATATGAATATTTTCTGAATGACATGGATCCTATGAATAATTATGGAATCATTGTTGTGATTGCCTTTACTGGCAGTGCTCAAAGCCCATCCCTGTGTGACCTGAAGTAAGCCACATAACTTGGTGAACCTGCAGTTTCATCATTTTTATAGTGAAGCAACCTGAAAGATTTTCCTTCTGCCACAGAATGTCAGGCCTCCCAGACCCCAGAACATGTATATACCTAAAGCCTTTGATGTATGTCAAAGCAGTATGCTTACGGTGTTGCTGGAGGATGATGGGGGCTGTAGAGAGGCACGCTTTCCAATGGGATTGATCCAGTCCTCCTTGCTTCACTTCCACATGAATGCTGGGCAGCCCAGGGTCACACCCATTGCACCCTCAACTCAGGCAAGCCCAGAAAGCAGCCAAACATAGGAGACCTGGGCTACAGACAGTCTCCCAAGTCCCAGGCTCACAAAACCTGGGTGGCGATGAAAGCTGAGAAAGTGAGGAGGTGGTTCAGGGGATCGCTCTTCCCTACTCGTTCCTGTCATCTCAAATTCACCTCCTACTGCACAGCAACACGGAGGACCACAACCTCCCCTGACCATCACCTTGATCTTGCTGTGTTTGCTTAGTGGGATGCAACCACACATCAACGGCCATAGACCAACTCAGAAAAATATCTCTCAAACAGTATTCCATAAGGACCGCTCATGGTCCTGTTATTTTCAATATATGGACAAACGAAATGAAAACAACAAAATCATATCAGGTTTACCAGAATTCCCAAGATAGATGGTCACACACGCTTTCAGGAGATCTCTATAGAAATGGTTTTGATGACTTGCCACCTTGAAAAGAGCTCTTCTGGGACTAGAATGTCATCCTTAAGTGACAAGAATGAGATGTAGTGTTCAGTCACATTAAAAAACAAATCATCCCATATAGAGGAAGCTTTGGATATAGGGACATCAAACTGGTCTTAAGTGTAATGAAAAGTCTCTTCTGCCACAAATATCAGTGTAGTGATACCTGCCAGTAAGAAAATATAAATCAGCATAACCATGGGATGCAGCGAGAAGAATATTGAGCCAGGAAAGAAAACATTTTTAAAAAATGAATTATTCACTTTCTAGTGGATACAGAAAAAACTGCAGAAGAGTCAGAGGATATCATGGCAGTGTAATAGGTTGATATGTTAAACTTGTGGAGAAGCCTTCAATCCTGTTTTAACATATGAGAAGGAGGGGTGACTGACTTCATGACTAGCATTAAGAAAATATCACATGTTGGGAAACTTTCTGCCTTGATGATTTTATACACATAAGAGATGAAAAGTGAGGCACGTGCTTAGATATACTGGGAATGAGATGGGACTGTGGCATTGTCACAAGTGTACACAAATACTGAGAGTGGCTGATAGAGGAACGGTCCCCATCGGTTGTGACCTCAGGTGAGACCAGGAGGCCTGGGTTTGGCAAATCTGGGCAATTGGAATGAAGGGCTCCTAAGATTCCATGACACGCCCAGCTTCTAATTCTGTTATTGCAACAGCAGGCCGTTACCTGGGACTCTGGCCAGTATCTCCCACACTCTTGTCAGAGTCTGAGCTACAGGCAGCGCCTTCAGCTCCCAGCTGAAGCATTGCGAACCTTGTTTTTGTGGTTAAGGGCCCTAAAGTGCTGTGAGGATCAAGTTTTTCTCAACAGTAAGTTAAGAATTTGGGTTATTGACATCCCCTAGTCCTGATTAAACCTATTTGATTTCCATTTTTTAACCCATCATGTGTTTGGGTTTCTTCTCCCCAGTCCCTGGCTCTACCTGTGGTGCCCCAAATGTCAGCATGGCGACATCTGGCGGGACTTGTTCCACGGAAACCACAGAGGTGAACTTTCCACATACCATCTAGAATTCCTACTCCCAGCAGGAAGAGACCAAACCGAATTTCGGAGCCAGCAAAAATAGACTTCTTCTGAGCCAGGTGGCCTACTTCCTGAACTACCAGCTGAAGACATACAGTAAGTTCTATAGGTTGACCACCACGAAACTGATGAATGAGGTCCTGTCTTGTCTAGAGAAACTAGCCAGTCTCTACATCAAAATTAATTTCATCCTTCCCATACTTGTAGAAAATAGAAATGGGTGTTTTATTATTTTGTTAAAGATGGAAGACAGAGGCCAAAGTATTTAGCAACTGTTCCACGTCTGCAGCAAGGTGGGTGTGGGACTGGGGTTACAATCCCACCTATTGATTTCTGACACAGGCACAGAACCACCTGTTTTCCTCAGCAAGAGGCTAAATCCATGTTTACAGGAATCTTCTCTGTACCGTATAAGATTGTGCAGACAAGTAGCATCCAGTCTGTTGGTCTAAATGCCTGAGGCTACTGAACTTCCATTTGGTTCTGGTTTTCTGAGCCCCAGTAGGCAAAGCTGTGTTCTGGGGATACTGGGGAAACACGGTGATAGCACACAGTACCCGCTGTGAGGAGCTTAAAGGGGACCCTGCTCCTAATAGAACCTGTGGTATATGTAAGTGGCACCATCAAGAGCAGGGAGTACCCTGGTACTGGTGCCTAAGCCTCCCAATTAGGTGGGATCCCCAGTGGGCACCACCACACCTGGCTAATTTTTGTATATTTAGTAGAGGCAGGATTTCACCATGTTGGCCAGGCTGGTCTTGAATTCCTGAGGTCAAGTGATCTGCCTGCTTGGGCCTCCTAAAGTGCTGGGATTCTAGGCATGAGCCACCATGCCTGCTCCACAGATTCTTTTTTAAGGTTGTTAGAATTTATCCATCGGCCCAGTCTCCTATATAAATTTCTCTAACCATTCATTGACAATGATATATGATGAGATAAATCAGTATTGCAGCAACGCTTCTGGAAAGTAGGGCAATTTTTGGAAGATTTTGGGGAAAAAGTTTTAATTTGATCAGAGGATACATGGTTAAGATCTACTAGATGAGGGAGAATTTGTCCCATGCGTCTGAAAAGCAGGCTCATCTACTTCTAGGGCGACTTAGTATAGGGCCCAGTAGAACATTCCCATCATAATATCACGTTCCTACACTCAGAATGTTTTACATCCTTGTGCTATGACTGGACACTGATTTGGTCTTGTGTGAAGTGTGATTTGCTTAATATGACCTGCTCATCTGAATTTGTTTACAGAAGATCGAAAAGATCATGATAAAGAACAGAAATGCAGAGACAGCAAAAATAAACTTCTAATGAGTCAAGTGGCCTACTACCCGGGCTGCCGGCTGAAGACGGAAGGTTAGTTCTATAGGTTCACCATCACAAAAGTGCTGAACGATGTCCTACTTGTCTCTGAGAAACCATACTCTCTCTTCTTCAAAGTTAATTTCATCCTTCCCATACTTCTAGGAAAATAGCAATGGGTATTTTAGCATTTTGTTAAAGACGGCAGACAGAGACCAAAGTATTTATCAAGTTTTCACATCTGCAGTAAGGTGGGTGTGGGACCAGTGTTAATATCCCAGCTATTGATTCCTGACACAGGCACAGAACCACCTGTTTTTCTCAGCAAGAGGCAAAATCATGTTGACAGGAATCCTCTCTACCATGTAAGATCCTACGGAACTTGTAAGCAAGATAAAGGTAGAAGTGTTTATTTCCAGATTTCAGGGTGACTGTGTAGCTAAGACAAGTTGACTTTAAGGAGATTGAGAGTGGAGATGAGAAGAGGAAAAGCAGGGAAACGACATCTTCAAATCAATAGGCGAGGCTGTCAGTGACATCCTCAGTCCCGATTAAACCAATTTGGCGTCACTAGTTTCTAACTCATCATGTGTTTGGGTTTCTTCTCCCCAGTCCCTGGCTTTCTGTGTTCTCCCCCAAACATCAGCAAGGTGGCATCTGGCAGGCCTCCTTCCAGAAAAAACACAGAGGTGAACATTCCAGAACGCATTGAGAAATCCTGCTCCCAGCAGGAAGATAACAGACCAAATGTCGAAGTTAGCAAAAATCGACGTCTTATGAGTGAGGTGAACTACTCCCTGAACTACCAGCTGAGGACATACAGTAAGTTCTACAGGGTGACCACCATGAAAGTGATGAACGATGTCCTGTCTTGTCTCGAGAAACTAACCTCTCTCTTCATCAAAATTAATTTCATCCTTCCCATACTTATAGAGAATAGCAATTAGTATTTTAACATGTAGTTAGAATGGAAGACAGAGGCCAAAGTATTTAGCAACTTTTCCACATCTGCAGTAAGGTGGGTGTGGGACTGGGGTTACAATCCCAGCTATTGATTTCTGACACAGGAACAGAACCACCTGTTTTTCTCAGGAAGAGGCTAAATCCATGTTTACAGGAATCCTCTCCATACCATATAAAATCCTGCAGACAAGTAGCATCCAGCCTGTTGGTCTAAATGTCTGAGGCTACTGAACTTCTATTCAGTTCTGGTTTCTGCTGAGGCCCAGTGGGCAAAGCTGTTTTCTAGGGACGCTGGGGGAAACACGATGATAGCACACAGTACCTCCTGTGAGGAGCTCCAAGGGGACCCTGTTCCTAATAGAACCTGTGATATGTGTAAGTGGCCCCATGAAGAGCAGGGAGTACCCTAGTACTGGTGCAGAGAATTGTGGGACGAGTTTGTTTGTCCTCTCCTAAGAGAAAGAAATAGGTTGTAAATGTGAACTGTGACAGGAAGGCAAGCCTGTCCCTGGGCGTCAGATCTGTGTCAGGATGGGGGAGACAGCTGCCAAAGTCCGGGTAGAGGCTGCGCAAGCCTCCAGTGATGTGGGAGCAGAAGGTCTTGTCAACATTTGGCCTCATCTTGGCAGTGAGCCTCCGGACCAGAAACGCATTGCCTGGTGGATCAGGAAACCATGCCAGGGCGTTTTGTTAAAGAGAAACCATGAGAGCTTTCGGTAGAACAGGGACCCACATGCAGACGTTCATGTCCCTGTGCACATTGGGCTGACGGTGCTTGCAGAGTGTGAAACGGGAAATATCTGAACGAACACATCTGTACTTGCAGAAAATGATGAAGACGAAGATGAAGATGTTCACGTCGCAGAGGCTGAGAAAATAGAGGAGCCACGTGCCCCCAGGTAACGCTGAAGAATCAGGAGCAAGTAGTGGGTGGTAAAGTATGGAAAAGTTCTAGAATCTCACCCTCTCTGGTGTCTGCCATGGGCCAAAAGCCTCCATTCCCTTGGCCACAATACGTTCAGTTCAACCCAACTTAGACACGGGGTGTGGCAGCTGTCGCGGTTCTTTGTATGTGCTGAGTGCCGTGTCTGAATTATGCAGGGATAACTGAGTCTCTGTTCTTCTCAGCTCCTTTCTGCCCAGCGTGATGAATACCAGCTGCTCTCTTTCTCTCCGGTTTCCCATGGCATCCATGCTCTGTGGCAGAGAGGAGGATTGCCTGTTTCCTCTCAAAGGGAACCTCCCATTTGCCTTCTGAGAGCCCTCTCTTATTCCTTCTGTGAAAACTGGCCAGGGGTTCCTGGGGTCCAATCCCCCTTTGTTTAATCTTTTGTCATCTCGATACCCTCAGGCTCATCGGGGAGGTGCCGAAGGTGGATGTCAAGAGAGTCCTTGAAGACTCACCGGAGGAAGGTGTCATCACTTGTTCAAATAGCTATGGCCCTTCTGACTCCAGCCAGCCTCACAGAGACACCAATGAAATCCCATTTGAGGAAGACAACATCAACTCTGCACTGGCTGTCGAGAGTCCATCGTCTCATGATGTAGTGGAGGATGCTCTAATCATTCTTTCAGGTGACCCCTACATTCCTTGTTTTTGGTACCTCTGTCTAGGCTGAGGAAGATCAACTCTGAAGACAGGCTCTATACACACAAATCGGTTTGAATAAAAATGTATGATGGGATACTAAACACAGATATCAGGGAATTTTTATCTCTTCCTCAGCTCATGTCATGCGTTTGTCTCCCAGGCCCGAGTATCAAGTTACCAGAGCCCAGGCCGGTGTGACAAACTCATGGTCACCTGCGTGCAGGAGGTGTACAGTAGGTGTCTGTCAGGTCTCCTAGCTTTGAGTCGGTATCTCTCATCTCCTGTCATTATGTCATCTGTCCCTGAACGATGTTCATGGAGCTGCCATTTCTTTTTAAGGAAACCGGGAGCCTTGCCTATTCATTTGGCCATAGCGTTCCCCAGGTTTGACTGCTCCGAGCGTCGGTCTTGATCTCTTTTGAGTCAGCTTGCTTAGCTGCACAGTCACCTTGAAACCAGGATGAAAACATTTCCTCTTTACCTTGCCGATGTGTTTCTGTGAAGCAAGGCTCAGCCCGGCTCTCCACCCCATCAGTGCAAGAGCCGGTCTGATTTTTCTTCGTAGCATCATATATTGTTTGCTGTTGTTGTTGAAATGGAGTCTCCTTTTGTCACCTGACCTGGAGTGCAGTGGCACCATCTTGGCTTACTGCAATCTCCACTACACGACTGCAGTGATTTTCCTGCCTCTGCCTCCTGCGTAGCTGGGACCACAGGTGCTCACCACCCCACCTAGCTAATTTTTGTATTTTTAGTAGAGACAAGGTTTCACCATATTGGACAGGCTGGTCTTAAACTCCTGACCTTAAATGGTTCACCCGCCTTGCTCTTTGAACTCACAGATTTAATTTTTTTGGAGGTGGGGATGGAGTCTCCCTCTGCTATCAGGCTGGAGTTCAGTTGCATGATCTCAGGTCACTGCAACCTCTGCCTCCTGGGTTCAGACGATTGTGCTGCCTCAGCCTCCCGAGCAGCTGAGACCGTAGGCGCGTGCCACCATGCCCAGCTAATTTCTTTGTATTTTTAGTAGAGACAGGCTTTCATCGTGTTAGCCAGGATGGTCCCGATCTCCTAACCTCGTGAAGTGCTCACCGAGGCCTTTCAGAGTGCTGGGATTACAGGCGTGAGCCACCATGCCCGGCCCACAGATTCTTTTCTGTTTGTTTTTGTTTTATCTGTTTTTAATTCGGTCTCCCTAGAGACGCTCAAAAATTGCCAATGCGACTTTATTGCAAGTCATCATGGTGGGGTATTGGGAAAAATTTTCAATTACCGCTAATTGGGTCTCAGATAAACCTCATTGGCTACGACACTGCCACTGTGCAAAGCTCACAGATTCTTTTTCAAGCAAGTGTGTGTTGTTAGAATTTAGATACTGTCCAGTTTCATGTCTAGGTGCCTCTGACCATTCAATGACCTTGCTGCCTGGTGAGAGAAGTCAGTATTGCAGCAACACTCCCAGAAAATAGTTTGACTAATTTTTTATGATTTTCTGGGGAAAAAATTTGGTTTAACTTTGCATAGACTCGCGGAGAGAATATGGCATGATGGTGTGCCCGTACAGGGAGATTTCGGCCTGTGCATCTGGAAAGCAGGCTCATCTGCTCACCAGGCTTCATCCAGGGCCCCCTAGAATCTTCCTGTCAGAATTTGTATTCTTGCCCTGAGAACAATTCTGTGCTTGTGCTGTGACTAAACACTGATTTGGTCCTATGTGAAGTGTGATTTTCTTAATGTGACCTGCTTTTCTGAATTTATTTACAGAAAGTCAAAGTGATCATGAGGAAGAGAAGAAAAAGGGCCAGTGCCCGCCAGGTAATGCTGCGGAGTTGTGGGCTGTTAGTTCAATTGTGACACCTGGAAACTGCAGATCCAGGGAAACGAGGAAGTGATGACTAGAACTCTTTCTTCCCTTCACCCAGCTACAAATTGTCCTTACTGACAATGTTGTGCGTGATTTGCGGCACTTTTATACGTTTTAATTTTTTAGTCGTCCTAATATAGGAATATGCAATCAGATGAGCCAAGTGAACTCAGCAAACAGGGATTTCCTGGTATTGCCTGTTCTCTCCCATGTGTTTAATTCCAGGGAGAGATGCATATATGCTTTCTGCGTATTTCTTGTTAGCATGTTTGCTAGGATTTGTGAAGAGAAGAAATTCAAAAAATATACATATGATATCAAAATACTAGAAAAAGGAGGCCCTTGATACACAAGGTCTGGGTGTCTGAAATGCCTCAAGAGTTCTGTTCACTTGAATGTCACATGTAAAATTCAACACAACTTATGCGAGGTAGTTGAAGTCCCGTGTTAGTTCTCGTGTTGCAGTTCATGATGAGAGTTTACAGGGAGTCTGGGTGGCCTGCAGTGGCTCATCTGTGCAAATGCACTGAGCACCTGCTCCTCATTTGTGCTCTGTCCCCAAGGTAGTCACCCTCCGCCCTGCATTTAGAAGGATAGTTTTTTTTCTCTTGAAGGAAAAATGCCTTTGCTTTCTGTGACCACTTCATTCTGACTTCCATCAGATCAGCTGGGAGACTTTGTTGTCTAATCTCTGGTGGTTTAATCTTCTGTCATCCTGTCCTACCTGGCTCATCAGGAATCTGCAGGTGTCTGTGGAGGAGGAAGCCCCCCAGGAGTCCTGGGATGAAGGTTACCTGGCTTTCTCAGTTCCTCCTGGCACATCTGCCTTCAGTGAGCCTTACAGGAGCAAGTTGCACTCATTAGAGGAGCAGCGAGTCGACTTGGCTGGTGACATAGACAGTGAGTACTCCGTTGTGAAGGCGATAAAGCTCCATTTTGTGTCCCAGATAGACCCCATAGTCTTTGTGCATTGCTCCCCTGACTGGGCTGAGAGTTGTCATCACTGTGGGCTGAACCTGTACATCAGTATAGATTTCGATCACTCTGGATTCCAGTCTGAAGCACGGACATGGGGTGGGTCAGTGAGCTTTGCTCTCTCTCTAGTCTCAGGCCGTGCCCGTCGCACCCTGGACCGACTGTCAGGACATTGAAACCCAAGGCAGGTGTTGCACACTCACACCAGGTTATGCAGCGCATGCCCACGAGTTGTCTGTCAATCTGAATTCAATGTCTCTTGCCAGCTACCAAGTTCCTCATGAGTTTTGTTCCTCAAGCATGTCTGTGAGGTTCTTCCCTGCTTGTACAAACTTGGTGTAACTGTTTGTACAAACTTGGGATAAAAGGATAATGGTCTACCAGAAGAGGGACATTTCACCGTTTGTCTCAGACAGAAACCAAGGAATCTCTATCATGGTTGGCCTTGAGACCTCCTGACATCTATCTCTCACATGATCCTGTTCTCATGCTGAGGAGCCTGAGGTCCCCGTGCAGGGATTAGACAGTGGACTGTTATGGGTGTAGGGGAATTGGCTTATTTTGTCTGTCCCTGTCTGAATTTATTGCAGAGATTAAAATAACCAAGAAGAGGAAGAAGAGCGAGGCCCACCATGCCCCAGGTAACTTTGAGCAATTGTGAACAGCTAATTATGTGTTGACACCTGGAGACGCCAGGTCCAGGGAAAACAGAGTGGGCTGACAATATCGATACCGTGTTTTCAACGAAGCCTGAACTATTCCTACTAACATTGCTGTTGGTTTTCATTGCAGTAGATATTTAGGTTTCCATTTCTTCCTCCCCTTATCATGTACTAACTACTGTAGGTTGACCATTCTTGTTTTTACGATCAGTGTTCGCTGTGTGTCCTGAGGGCACTAACTCAGAGTGTCCTTTTACTCCCTCATCAGTGTGTCACCTGGACGGTTCACTGAGCTACTTTCTCTCTCTCTCTCTTTCTCTCTCTCTCTCTCTTTGATTCCTTTTTACCCTACTCTTGCCCATCCCAACATAGGGCAATAATTTGTTACGTCATTAATGGATCTATGTTTTTTCTTTATTAACCACTTTCTTGTGCTACCCATGAAATCTAGTTGGGGCTCTGCGGTGTCTTATTTTCCCTGACTTATTCTTTGTTTTTTTCTCCTTTTCTAGGCTCAGCATGGAGCTGGTGGAAGCAGAAGAGACTGAAGTCTTCTGGTACTCACTGGATATATTGCATTCAATGTATACAGCCAATCCTGAGTTTTTTTACACCTGCCAGGCTTACACATATGCTTTTTTTTATTTGTAGAAGAGCATGTTCACTTGACTTTGGACATGGACAGTAGGTTTCTTACTATGATGGTGATAAGACTCCACCTGGTCTACCGGATAGGGGTCATATTCCCACACTAAGACAACATGTCACCTGGGACTCTGCCAGTGCAGAGTATGAACAACACCATGTTCTTGCTGAAAACACTTAGCCTGAGTTTCATAGCCTGAGGTAATCTCCAGAGAACTTCAGAATATAGACCAGTGAGTAGCACGACTGACCTGTCTCCTTCAGACAGCCCATGTCACCACAAATCACACAACTAAAAGGAGAAGAGGCATTTTGGGTTGAAAAAGAGTCAAAAGATAATGTAGCTACATTGCTTTAGTTCTTTTGAACCCAAAGTGTCTCCTCACATTTTTGTTGTTGTCATTGATGGTGGTGACATGGGCTTGTTTGTAGAGGACATGTCAGCTGTCTGGCTCAATGGTCTACACTCTGAACTTGTCTGAAAATGTCCTCATGATTAAACTCAGCCTAAGTGTTTTTCTGAGAACACTGCCGGGTCAATGCCACCTCACCCATCTGCAGGCAGAGAAGGTTCCATGTGCCTCACACCATGATCGTGGTACCAGGACTGTTCCACCATTTGTCTATCACCATGACTGTGATACCAGGACTGTTCCACCATTTGTCTATCACCATGATCATGATGCCAGATCTGTACCTTTCAGAGACACCTTATTTATACTGAACTAATTGGAAAAATGGTTTTTAAAAGTATTAATATCCTGTATTCAAATGATCATCCCCTAAACATTTTATTATTCATTAATCATCCCTGGCTGTGTCAATTATTATATTTATATCTCTACACTGAAAACTTTCAATTTTTACTGTATCTTTGCTTTTACTAGTTTCTGTTGTTGAAAAAAAAATTCCCTGCCTGCATTTTCATTTTTGCCAAAGTTAATTTTAATCTATACAATTAAAATTTTTTGTCTTTAAGATAAGACTGTCAGCACATAAGGCCACAGCAAAACAGAGATTTTGCTAATTTTTAAGCTGTTATTAATTTCTGGCTGACAAGAGACGTAGTTTACTTAGTTAGCTGCTAATATCTATTTAAGTGAGCAGCCAGGGAAATGTCTATCAGACTGATGATATGCGAAGACCAGGCCATTCTCTTTGAGCCTTTTAAACTATTTCAAAAGAGAGGAGAATAGGTAGCTTCCACATATGTGGACAGGAAGAAAAATACACTAAAAGAAACAGACAACTATTTCCCAAAACAGAATAGAAAATTAAATTTAAATAAACATACACCATTAAAATTCATAACACATTTCCTCATGAAATGTAATCTCTGTAAACTTAGCGACTATGTGAAAGTCAGTTCTTAATATACCACACTACATTGACTGTTGACATTCATAAGAATACGTTTCCAAGTTTATTATTTGAAAAAGCAAATGGACTATACTCTTTTTTTTAATTTTTGCAGTGATCTTTTTAAGATTGAGGATTTCTTTTTCAAAATAAAACCAAAGATCTTAAAGATTGAAAATGACATTAAAATTTATCTTCTCAAAGTGATGATGTTTAACTCAGGCTGTCTTATTCCTGTTTATAGCATAACTGTCAAGTGATCATTTAACCATTCTTTAAATATCTGAAATTACTGGGAACAAACCACATTCCAGGGTGTATCTTCTTTTGTTTTTGTTTTTTTCTTTATTTTACTTTATGTTCTGGGGTACATGTGCAGATCTTGCAGGATTGCTACATAGGTATACACATGCCATGCTGGGGTGCTGTGGCGTGATCTTGGCTCACTGCAACCTCTGCCTCCTGGCTTCAAGCAGTTTTCCTGCCTCAGCCTCCCGAGTAGCTGCGACTACAGGCATGTGCCACCACGCCCAGCTAGGATTTGTATTTTACTAGAAACAGGGTTTCGCTATGTTGGCGAGGATGGTCTTGATCTCCTGACCTTGTGATCCACATAACAGTCTTCTGTGCACTTGAGATTCATGGAAGTACATCAATTGCTGGGTCATGACCTGATTATAAGTTTAACGTTAGTATACATTGTCAGTCTTCTAGAATGGTTTTTTCACCAGCAATGACAGTTGAAGTGGCACCAAATTCTTGTCAGCATTTGGTGTACTAACTTTGTGAAATGTAGCTATGCCCTCAGACCAGTCTGGCCAACAT